AGCTTGGCATTTAGACACGCTACACGCATATGTCTATTTCTCTCTAATTGTGTGTGTGTGTGTGTGTGTGTGTGTGTGTATGCGTGTATAAAAGTGCTAATGCAACTCGAGTGCATAATATATATTTTTATTATTATTATTATTACACGGTCGTTTCGGTGAGTATTATAATATAATAATAATATATATGTAGTGGCTTTCGATGATTTTTAATGCTTGAAGGTATACGGCATACGCATGTGCATATTAATATTGTTATAATAGATGGACCGCGTACCTGTTATCGTTAAAATATTATGTATTTGATTATATATAGGTACTAACGTAAACGTCTAAAACTTTTGTTTATTAATACGATTAGTATATTATTTCTCGCCCACCCCGGCCTACCGCGTGTTATATACCATCTGCTACCACTGGGCACCGACCGCAAACCGGGTGTAAGACTAATAGTGAGTATTGTCTATATACGTATATTGTATAACGTTATACGGGACCCACACGTCCGGTAAAAAATGCGGCGAGGTCTGTGTCGTTAGATATAGTTTTAGATTCTGAGCGGAGCGAGGAATATATTGATTTTACAATGATGTGTGTTTTTTTTGTATTTTGTATTTTTTTTGTGTCTGTCATCACGTTTTGAGACAGYAAAAGTGCTTCGATTTTCGACTTCAGTACCTTGTTCGATCAGAAAGTGAATATAGTTGGTACTTTGGGGAGGGGGGGGGTCAAGAGTTAAAATTCTCAATACTTTTGTCTTTTCTAAACAATCGGTATCAACAAACTAAAAATTAAGGTAAAAACGGGAATTTTAACGCACAATAGGTTTTCGACAAAATCAATTTTGGTTTTTGATATAACTTTACAAAAAATTAGTATAGATACATGAAATATTCATCGAATGTTTATATAAGTATATTCTATCTACCATGCAATTTTCAAAAAATGTTGACTTAAGTTGAACTATTTATAGACATATGCAATTTTCGATCATTATTAGTTTTTTTTTAAATTAATACCGATAAAAATGTATTTATTGGGTAGAAAAGCTTGACAATTTAATACAAGGCTCCTAACATTTTGTTACAATAGCAGTTGTAAAATAAAAGAGTTACATAGTCACAACTTTTTTTTAAAAGCATTCAAAGTTTKAATTTTGACAAAATACATAAAAATCACGAAAATTCGCAAATTATTTTAAGCTAGAAATTCATAAAACATTTTCTTTTTAAATCTAAGATTTCAAAATTTTACAGGGTTTCTTATAAGTTTGTCAACGTTTATCATAAAAAAATATCCACCAGAAAGTCAAATTAAGTTTTTATGAGCGTTTGAAATTTAAATTTTTACAAYATTGGATTTTCACTAGATTTCTCATTTAGCGATTTTCTTATTTTGGTATAACTCTAAAACAAATAACCCCAGATACTTGGAATGTTCACTGAATGTTTATATAAGCATTTTTTATATTTGATAAGATTTTCGAATTGTTTTGATTAGTTTTGAGTTGTTTACTGACATTTTAATTTTTCAACTTTTTTAGTTTTTTTTCTATTAACGTCATTACAATTTTAGTGGTTGGGTTAAAAAGCTTCAAAATATAATATAAGGCTTCCAACATATTGTTTCAATAGCAGTTGAAAAATATTAATAATACATAGGTAAGATTTTTTTTCAATAAGCATTTAAAGCTCAAATTTTTACTAAATAGGTGAAAATTACGGAAATGTTCAAATTATATTAGATAGAAATTCATAAAAGTTTTTATTTTTAAATCTAAGATTTTAGGCCACTCAAGTCAAAACAGTTCTTCACTTTCAGCTACCATCAAGTTCATCGCAGAGGCAGAACTACAAAATAAAATATGAAAATTGTAAATAATATAGTTGTCAATGTAATCTCAATCCAATGAAATTAAAATTTTGTAACCCAATGGCCTATGTCGCCGAGACCGCGAGGGTATATTATTTCGTTTAATAAAAAAATAAAATCTAAGATTTAAAAATTTGATACAAGATTCCTTATAAGTCCTTTATCAAAAAAAAAATAATGTCTACCAGAAAGTCAAATTAAATTTTTATGAGTGTTTGAAATTAATAAAACAACAAAAAAAAAATGTCCACTGGAAAGTCAAATATATCTTAATAAGTATTAATAATAAGTAATAATAATCTATAATATATCCTAGACAGATAAACCGTCTCTGCTCAGAATCGTTTTTCGTATACAATCATCTAATAATATTCTAATATATCATTAGATTTAAATTAAATTCCATCCATTATAGTAACCCACTTGTAACCTACTGTACAGCAGAGCGACATTATCACGACTTACCCGCTTTTTTTATTCGTTTCATTTCGACCATCGCT